GGGGGCAATGACAGGAGAAGTGTATCCCCTCGTGGCACACAATAATTCAAAGAAACATTTTTTATGATGACATTTAACATGACATGTATCCACATTAGTCTCTTAACTCAATTTATTTCACTAAAGTATCAGGTCACATTGCTAATTTTGCCCTGAATGATGCCTGTAATAAAAGCCCTACTGCCTGCTCAAGGGCTGCCAGTAGATTCATCTCTCTCACCCACACAGCTCTGGGGCCAGTCTCTCTGTTTGATTAAACTTTGCTCCCCAGTGCTATGAAATATCCAAAGGCACTTAGATTTACAACCTGCTCCGTTAAATTATTGACACCTCAGTACCGTTCCTATCAGTTTCCTGACTAATCCTATGTTGTTACCTCACTTATTTAAGTTGGTGACTTCCACTTGACTTTCAGCTCTAAACCAAGCTGGAATGATTCCTTATCACCCGATGTCCACGGCTACGGCCATGTTTACGTTACACATGCAATATCTGTGGCCGAGTCTCCCGCACTATGTATATATGTGTCTGTGTTCAGCATGGAACAAACAGCTGCTGCCTTTGAAGCATAGATATAGAGCAGAGGCTCAATGATAGATCTAAATAACGTAGGCTGTGAAGATAAAACAGGTGAGATGAAGAGGGGAACAAAGGATAAAGGAAAGATAGAAAGAGACAGCTGGGGAGACTGAGAGGGTAAGAGATGACGAGAGGAGGCTCTCGGGCCGGGAGGATGTTTAAGCTGTGTCTTTTGAGCAAGCAGGTTAATTTTTCATGCGGCAGTTTGCGAGGCCCCAGCCCAGACAATCCTATGGCTGGCCACGGTTTCCTGAGAGACAGCTTGTTGCTCGAGGCCCCCGGGCGGGTTTCTTGTTGAGTCTGCCTGTAAATTGCCACCAAACTAGTGAATTACTCCATGATGTGTCACAGAGGCAGCCGAAAGGCCTATAGGCATAAAACCACTGACTTATGTTTTCCCTCACAGTAATTCCTCAGTGACAGCTAGGGCAGCAAATTGAGACGTCTCAGTTAGAATCCAACATCTCATATTCAAAACAGCTGGTCGTCATTGCTGCTGGAGCTTCTGATGGATTGAATCGACGTGCATGCTGGTTGTGGTTTAACAAACAATTGCAAATCATTTTGAGGCAGATATTGGGGTAATTCATCAGTAAATGGCAAATCTGAGACTATCTTTTTAAGAACAAGACTAAAAGCTTACAGCCAGTGCTGTGTTGCTCTACACAGATACACGGTGGTGCTTTCAGATAAATGTCAATTTTAAGTTGCTAAAAAGCAAAGTGTAGCATTTCAGCATGCTAGCAATTTATTAATTGCAATAGATGCTAAACTCTGTATCACTGCGGCACTGCATCAGCCCTGAGTGGGTTGGAGGAGACTTAAAGTTGGGGCGATTTTGCTGATGGTAAACTGTGATGTTTTCACCTGTGTGGATACATGACCAATCATCACACAATCCACTCAGCTGACCAAAGGGTGATGACACCTGGGTGTGTGCTGCAGACCACGCTGTCTCCTTCTGTTTCAGCCATAGTCAGTGACCGCTTCCTTTGGCAACAGTGGGGAGCTCTTTGATTAACTTGTGCTTGTCACATAGACCCTCCAACCCACCTCCACAGCATCCTCAGCCTGAATTTCTACATTTTGGGATCGCAGTTTCTTCCTTTCATATCTCTCCTTGATGGCATCCTCCCAATGGACTGTCAGTTCAACAATGAAGACAAACTAGCTGGAACTGGACCAGAGAACCAGATTTTGGCACAAGTTGGTGACTGTGATTTCAGCTGGAAAGGTGAGTGTTTTGTTAAGGTCAGCCCTCACTTCCTAATCCATAATTATGCAGTTTCCTCAGAATTTCTGCCCTTCACAGGGCTGAAAAGTGCTTGGTGTCTTTTAGAGGATTTTTAATATAAATGGATTTGAACTGTGTGTGAGCCCACAGCGCTATGCAACAGTGCTCCACACTGCATCACCGTGCCTCCTTATAATAAACTTAAGGGGTGGGCGGTTCACAGTCATTACACTGAATTGGCCTGAAGAACCAGCCCAGAAGGCTACATAGAAATTCCATTGATAGTAGACCGAGCATCTTATTGTTTACATTCAATCTCATTGGCAGTTGGGTGTGTAACATGGCCATAAACACACTTTTTCATTGACCATAACCAAGTGATTTAGATGCCTAACCCTAATCATTCATTAACCCAACTTCATAACGTTACCTCATTTGCGTCACACCATACTTGACCTGTAAGACACGACTTGAGAATGTCAAAAACTTCCAGGAATGGATTTTTGTTTTTATGTCCATATTCTTATACCAACGTTTTTGTCTGGGGAAAAAGCGTTCGCCATTTCAACTATGCCTTAAAAAAAGAGATGGTTTGTTGAACAGAGGTAATATACTGGCACGATGTGTGCACAAATTCTGTTGTGACACTGAAAGATTTTTTTTTTTATTTACAGCAGTGTAGGGATTTGTGCATCTTACAGCTATCTGGGGTTCCACTGTGAAATCTAGCCTTATTGATTTCTGTGGGGCTACATTCCTTACAAAGGACACAGCGTGTACTTGGAGAGAGACTTTTTATTGCCTGCTTCAAATCTCTCACCTCTCAATCTCATGTCAGCGCCACACAGCAGACTCTTAGAACTATCGCAGCGGAAAATAACTTTAAGCAATGAGCAACTTGACCTCAGCAACATCAAATGAATCCTTATCGTGGTGGCAGACGCAAAGAAAAACAATTCTGCCACTTAAATATCATAAAAAAGCATGACAGGTTCCCTTCCTTTAGCTTCCAGCGCAGCTGGGGCTAAGCATTTCAAACAGACTAGCGTTTGAATGACTGGGATGTGGGAGCTCAGAGTCTGTAGCTATGGATTAAGCTCACAGCAAATAGTTGCATGGAAGAAACAGAGGTAATCTCTTCCCTCTCCTCCACGGCCCTCTCACCATACCTGTTCCCCCTTTTTTAATCTCCTTACTGAATGAGTTCTCGCAAAGCAGCTCAAACAGAGAGGGGTTTATTCACAGCAGTTAAAGTAACATGAAAACGATACCGTCTCAAGACGAAAAGTGCACCGGCGCAAAGATCGATGCACCGCTCACCTGGTTATCCTTCTTCAAAGTGACATATAGGCCCAGCGGCTGCCTTATTCAAACTGACAACTTCAATGAAAAGTAAATGAGGGCATATAACAAACTCAGCAATGGGCCTTGAACTGTGGACAGCTGTAAACAAAAGACAAGAGTCTTACAATTTTATAATTGCATATGCACAGGTTACAGCCTAACCTGATGTTTATCATAAAAGGATCATCATGCTCACTCACTCAGTGCAGACTGTGGTTTAATCACCTGCAGTGCGCTGGATAATTTACCCTGCAGCACTCTGTATTTGCATAAAAGTACTTTCATTTTGCATTTTGATGCATTGCTTTGCATTTCCACCAAAGATTCTTATGTTAAAGAAAATTTCCACACCTGATCCACTGCACTAACTACCTAAGTACTCCGGGATAGCATTTGTAGCTTTGACTCTCCTGTTTGGCATAGTGTGAAAATCAGGTGATAAGCCAGAGGATTCCTATAAGCAAAATTTCACACTCAGTGGTGCGGTTCATCTTCAGGTTTCATACTTATTAGACGATTGACACTAAGTCTCTAGCACCATTCATCGGTCACAATATAGCTGCAATATAGTATTTTGCTAAATTCTTTCATTCATATGCGTTACGAGTTCATGAGAGAACACTTGACAGCATGCCATGTGTTTGCTAATAAAGTAATAATAACCTAAACAGCAAGCTTCTTTCATTTAAGCCCACAGCAAGAGAACAGGTTTCCAACTAAGCAAAGTATTATGTAAATACTCACCAGACATTTACAAAGGAACAACTTCCTCGACTTGTGTAACTGGAAATGAGATGCAGATCCTCTGGAAGTAAACATAATCTACAATCTATAAACTAGTTTGCCTAGAAAATTGGACTGTTGGCTTCTGAGGTTATGTTTCCATGTAATTGAAGAAGTCGATTGAGAAAATACCTTTATGAAAACATAATCACAGTATAGAGTATCGATAACGGTGTTAACCTGAGATACCTGTTCCTACACGTCTGCATCACAACCTGATGGCTCTGCAGGGGAGAAAATAAACATTTATAAAGGCTTGCAAAAGTCTCTGTTACAGTTTGGGTGGTGTTACAGTCACAGTAAGGGCAGTGAAACCTGTAACTGAAAAAAATATTACACAGTGGAGTGATTGTATAATGTCATTGCCCTGATTTCTCCTGATAGAAAGCAGATAAATTAAGCAGTTTCACTTTGCACAGGATTCCCTGGAATTCCCTCAGGGACCCCCTGGAAGTGCTCACTCTGCAGAGACACACCAGTCCTGCTCAGGCTTTACAAAAAGGTTTGGGGCAGGGTAAATATGACAAACCCATATTTCAAATATATGTTTTATTACAGTGCACTCATGAAATTCTGACCTTTATGTGACAGTGAAACGCAACTTTACAGCTTTGCACTTTCTGTTGTCTGCTGGTGAATTTAGAGAGTTGGGGGTTGAGGTGGGGGAGAGGGGGGGAGAGTCAGCATGCTCGGAATGGAGAAGCTGTCAGAACCTGATAGATGAGAGTGTGTGAGAGGGAGACAGCGCAAACCGTCAGCGGGAAACGGCATGATGTGGCATCAGCTCCGGCAGACAGACAGACTAAAATAGTGCCTTGTATGACAAAGTGTACCCAACAGTGAGAGAGAATGATTTTCCCTTTCTCTCTGGCTTTCTTTTTTTTACACAAGCTTCCTTCCTATGGTAAATTGTAGGCCAGAGGTGGCGGAAATACGTCAGTTATGTGGGTTCTCTGAAGCTTGACTGCGTATCTTAATTTCGGATGAAGGGAATGAGAGATAGAGAGGGGAGGGGGCAGAGAGAGAGAGATTTTAATCACTCCTGTCGCTTTAAGGACACTTATCAAAGCCTTATTATGCGAACAGAAAATACCAGGAGCCACTGAGCAACTGAGGGACGGACTGGAGTGGAGGTTTGTAGGGAAACTCAACGTTATCTAAACTGGAATAGACCGCTTCGTTGCCCTATGGAGTTTGGATGTCTGTCTTATCCGGACGGCTCGGGTCATTTAGGAAACACTGCGCATAGCCTAAGTAGCTCTCAGACTTCGGATCCTTTGCTTCTGAAGCGCAGAGCGGAGAGGAATATGGCTTAAAAGTCAACGCGTAGTCCTCGGGATTATTCTCTCATTCGACAGCTTCTATCGACACGTTTACCAGGCGTTTATTATCAGCATTATCTCGGACGGATACTGTCCCGATACTGTCTCTCTCTCTCTTTTTTTCTTGCCAGACTTGGATCATGGATTGGGGTGGTGGAAAACAACAACGGGCAGCGACATGATTTCTCTGCGCTGTCTGCAGTATGCTGCGAGCTCCCGCTTTGAACGCCGCTCGTTATTACTGAGATGCCACAAAAGTTACGAGACGAGTGCAGTGCGCGGATTTTGAGCGTTTCGCCGTTTTTTTGCACCTGCTTTAGCGGCCAGCGCGTCGACACGGCGCAGATTCGTGACAGAATAGCGTGCGGATCCGCGTCGCTTCGCTCACTCTCACCCAGTCGCTCGCCTGCGCGGGGATACTTGGAACGTTTGCTTATCGTAATGGAGATTGGCGAGGTTTATACTCAAGGTCATCCACTGTTGTGAGGCTACGGTCGCCTCGTTATTTACAGAGCCCTGCACGCAGCGCTGTCTCCACGTTATAGCGCAGCGCAGGCTACGATCCTCAGTCCGGTGTGTGTGTCTGCGTGTGCGTGCGTGCGCGTGTGTTATTTGATATTGCGCGAGCTGTGGAGTAATATTGCTGTTTCTTTCGGACTCTGGGAGAATTCTCTGACAGCATGGATGGGAAACTGAAGCAGGGTCGGAGATGTCGATCCAAGCGGGAGAGAGTGCGGAGGTTGCGGGAGGCTGGGAGCAGAGACGCCCGCAGCCCCGACCCCAACTCCTCCTGCTCCGACAGGGAGGGACACAGTCCGGGGAGGGACGCCGCCTCCCTGCCCGGTAAAAAAGCTCCGCACCCCGCGGCCGCCGCCAGAGTCTCGCGCCCCCCGCGGCGAAAGAGACGAGAGTCCAGCTCGCAGGAGGAGGACATCATTGATGGATTTGCTATCGCCAGCTTCATCAGCCTGGACCGTCTGGAGGTAAGGAGGAAGCGGATCGTTAACTGTTTGTGTGTTTGCATTCTTCATCATGTGTCAAGAGTGTGTGTGTGTGTGTGTCTGCGCGTGTGTGCGTGTAAGTGGGTCCTCACCCACTCACCAGCAACATGAAGGACTAGTCCAATTTGTAGCCAATTTACTTGAGATGGCGGTAATGAGATGGATGAGGATTACTCTTGTAATCGTCTGATATTTGTAGATGAGAGGATATCCCTCAAGGTGATCAGTGCTCGCTTTGATGTGTGTCTGTTTGGAGTCCTTGTCATGAAAGTGTTTACAACACACACACACACACACACACACACACACACACACACACACACACACACACACACCTGTTTCTTGAAAATTACTTGCTTCAGAGAGCCAGCATATGATTGGAGAAGAAACAGGTGCTTTGGTGGGACAGGTTTGGATCTGGTTTGTGCGTTTTTCTGTTTTCTGCTTTCTTGACACTCCGACCTCTGATAAACTGCCTATTACATCATCCGTGTGTTGGAGGCTGACACACCACGTGCTGATAACTCTGCTGCTGTCATTACCGTGTGGTAGCTATGTCAGATGTCAGAGCAGCGATTTCAGGAAGAGAGGAGGTTCCCCTGTGACACCCTCCTTTATTTAGCTCCTTTATCTCATTACATTCAAAATGACAAATGAAACATAGCTCCCTGTGGGATATTAGGCAGACTGATGAGGCAGGTTTGTTGTTGCTTTTTTTATGGCTCATTCTGAGGATGGTACTGTATATAAATAACTACCTTTAAAAATATATACCTAATACTCACTGGTGTCTGTGTATTTTAAGATGATGGCCTCGTTTGAGAGGCCGTGGATCCAATCACACCTTTCTATGTAAGCTTAACTATGGTGGCTATTAATCAGTCATCAGTCATGCCTCCTACATAGCTCTTATTCAATATAATGGTGGACTGCGTGTTTGCAGCATAAAATCTTAACCAGTTGTCTATTCTGAATGTAGGATTCACTCACTTGAAGCTGATAATCAATTCTCCACTGCCCAGCTATTAACAAGTTTAACCTGTCAGGGTCATCTGTGATTATCCTGCAATTCCATTTAGCTTCATGGTACTTAAAGCAGGCGGGAAAGCAGATAGGAGTGCAAGGGCGATCCCTGAAATATTGTTGGGAATTAACTTATATGAGAAGAATAATGATGTAAAAGGCGAGTGCAGTGATGTAAAACTGCTTTAATGACACTGCAGAGTTTTTTGGCTAATCAGGCTAAATTTCACAAGCGGCACTCACCCCAGATAAACTTGTTATCAAGTGTGTTGCTGCCCATTCTCCTCATTCATCTCCATGTGATTTTGTATGTAAAAGCACCTTTGCCCTCTGTGCTGCATGGCAGCCACTTCTGATGGCTGGAAGACTTTGAAGTGCGCTGCACTTAATGACTTCTGGGAAAAGTAACACGTGTTGTGATGCTGTAAGATGTCTTTTTAGTTCACAAGTTGGACATCTGTCTCTGATGTGGGAGATGAGGTTAGATTTATCCTTTGAGGGTTTATCTTAATAAAAACATTACAGTAAATAAACGCTGCCTCTGTGAGAGCGAGGCGAAGCCAGATAATTATCCAATTTTAGTTTTACACATTTACTAGCTATAATAATTCTCTGTGTTGAGTGAACACAGAGAAAGAACACTGTGCGCTGCACAGAAGCTTATGTTTCAAGGCTACGCAAATGAGGCATGATACAGCTCAATGTGAAATGATACTCACATACCAGCTACTTGTTGATAATTGGTCTGATTTGCATGCAAATGGCCTGCGCTTATTAAATGATGTTAGTGGATCTGGTACAATTAGAAGAAGAGATGAGCACAGATAGGGGTTTTTTTGTGCCTCTGATTTCTGTGCATGTGGTAAATGAAATCAGAGTGTTGACTTAGTGCTAATTTCGTGTATTGTTTGCTGTAAGTGACAACGCTAATGACATTTGTTTTAGCTGCATCACTGAGAGTGAAATGGCCTCTCCGCAGTGTGTGCCCACCGGAACCATCACATCGTCTGTCCATGAGTCATTCTTTCACCTACTCACCGCGTGCTTGAGTGGAGCTCATGACCTACTCTACCTGTGCTAATTACTCATCAATTATGGGGGGGGGGAGCAGTCAGGGAATAGCTCTGACTTATTGCATTATGCTCCGATAAGCTGGCACACCCTCTGGAGAGCGAGCGCGTGGTCCTCCTGACCTCTTTAAAGTGACTGATGGCCAGCACGGTTGTGTTTATGTCAGGCCATACAGTCGGTCTCATTAGGATTTCACCGTCATTATTTATTCCACCCTCCCCGGGTTCAGTGAGCCCATATGGCCAACATAGCAATATTTACTTGTGTTTAATCTCATTGCTTTCAAATCTCCCTGTAATCTTTTTTTTCGTGTGTGTGTGTGTGTGTGTGTCTGCTCTCTGATGCACTTCAGGGTGAATGTGTTTCATAAAATCTACGTCACCTTTGGGTTACTGCTGTTTGATTGTCCCATTCTAGTCTGTAACTCATGCCTGAGGTTACGGGTTACTCCCAGAGCACTTCCACTCTAAGCTCACTCAGTTGATATTCCAGCTCAGCGCCGATAGGATCGAGCTCCCTCGATAAAGGCTTAGGCTGTGTGGTGGTCTTGCCTGCTACCCCGTAACCCGGTTTCATTACAGCCGAAAGCAATTTGCAGCCACAGCCGCATTTGATTACACCGTGTTTATTCGCTTTGAATCCCCTCGTTTCTCGCAGGAAAGCCGCTTACTTACCTGTGCAAATCGACTATGCAAACACAGCCGTGCTGCTTTGTCACAGGCAACTTATGATGATGTTTTTTTTAAATGGGGGTATGATTCAGTGATGATTCAAAAAGAGTCAATCTGTTACTGTGGGCTGTTGAAAAGGAGAAAAGCTCATGCACAGTTTCTGTGGTTTTTATTCCTTTTTTAAGTAAAGAATGAAATCATTGCGCATGAGTCAGGAAAATTATTCCCTTATTTTTTTCTCTTTTTAAGAAACATGACTTTAAGAAGAAGGATAAATTAGCCCGTATATTAGTCTGAGTAACTTTCGGGAATTCTTTCACTTTCTGAAGGCCAATTTCGTGGACATAGCAGCGATATAAAACAATTATGCTTTACAGCTTATACCCTCCAGAAGTCTCCCTGTGTGTATCGAACAAGTGAGGAGATAATAAAATGACACAATTATCCATCTGTCAACGTATTAATAAGATGTTTGATTTGCTCCATTTGCTCTGTGAGTGATGTTGGAGTGGCAAATCCCCTCTCGTTAATCCACAATCCTTCTGTTCATCTGCTTTAACATGAATTTACAGATTTGTTTGGGTTTTCCGTTCCGCAGCGTGGGTTTCTAAATTCAGTCTAATGGGGGATTTAGGTTTAGTTGATTTAGTGATATTACAACAGTGTGAAGGGCAGGAGGCCAAGGGGGTCTGGGATTCTGGCGGAAAATGGGTTCATATATCAAAGACTCTGTCTCTTTGTGTATCCAGGGACGTTTTGCTTGCTGTTTTCCTGCATGGCCCTGTTTTCTCAAGTTTTGCACACTAATCATCCTCGATCGTTGGCTACTGAGTAGCACCGCTGGTGCAGTATGGGGAAATTAAGTCCCTTGCCCTCAAGGAGCTTGACAGTAGTTGTTAGGGAAACTGAGATTTGTTGCTTCATTTTCTCTGCCTGTGTTTTGGCAGCTGGTGCATGGATTTAAGCCAGCAACATTCCAAATACAAATATGTGTCATTATATATCATCAAGTGCTGCGATGAAGTCAGAGCAGCAGTTAGAAAGATTTTTTTTCGCCCCAGAGACTTCCCCTTAATGTAGCTACACTCGAGTGTCTCATAGTTAGCACCCAGATATGACCACATGCTAACTATTTGGAGTCGTTAGTAAGGCCAGAACTCAAGATTTCATGTTAGAAAGCACACTTGTGCAGAGACGTGCTGATAAATCCTGAGCTCAAACTGAAGGTTTGGCTTTCAGCAGATTGACGGATTGTGTAAAGCTCTAAAGAGCCCAAAAATCCTATAATTTCACATCTTTTCCCTGGGTCAGCTTTGTGTTTCCGCTCTGCTCGTTGCCACTTGAGTAACACGATGCAAACCAATACTGGCACCTTAAACCGCAGCGGTCCTTGCTGTAGTGAGATGTCTTGCTTCCATGGTGAGGCAGCAGATTTGTTGCAGGGGTTGCAGCAATCTTGCTTCGTGTTTTCACTTTCCCCCAACGGTGATAGTGCTGTGCATCATATGTCGGCACTGACAAACAACTCCGGCTTTAATTAACAAGGCAGCCCCCCGAGGCTCCGTTGCTCATTGGCTGACGCATCCCATGGAGAGAGCTTTCTTAATGCCAGTGGGACGTCCCCAAGCCCTGGCTGTCTCTAACTGTCACACACTGTAGGCGACAGCGTGGCTGATAAATGCATGGTCACATTCGCAAGCCTTTTCTCTGTCTGACACGAACACATGACCGAACCTCCAGCGTGCAGCTGTCCAAGTTGTATATTCTTAAAGTTTTCCCTTAAAGAATGGCTTCCTAGTCAACTGGTCATTGTGCATTTATATTGATTTAATTATTGAATAACATCAGAACATGATAAAATGTGGTATTTTTTTCTTTCAGGAAGTAATTGTTTATGAGTCCTTACTAATATAATGTTGTTGTGTCACAGCAAGTCGTGAGTTATTCATTTACGCGCTGCCTCATGCTGCTGGAATCAGCAGCCTGTCGTGTTTGTGCTCTTCCAAACACATGTTGCCAACAGGAGAGTTGCTGAGTGCCCTCTGGTAGACAAAGCATGCAACATCAACACTCAGACGTGGTTGAAAGGTATATATAAATGCAGATCGGTCAAATAGCTAATAGATAGTTAACTGTCTGATTTGCTAATGATGATGTCACTGGTGCCATGCGGTTTGAGTTTGCTTTTTCCTTTTTTGTGACCCATCAGGCCTTCGT